ATTCAAGCCTGAATGGGAGCAGATGTCTTGCAGTCAAGTCTTAGATCTTCTTCAGCATGCACAACAGTTCTGACCCCTGAGTCCTGCCATCTCTGCCAGGCCCCTGAGCTTCTGTGCCATGTTATCTAGAGCTCTTCAACTGATATTCCTTGTGAGAAATGATCTGACGTGATAGATATAGCTGGATACCTAAATAAAATTAGACATGACATTAAACTTGCACCTTTGTGAGCCAACTGAATGTACTGTGTTCCTCCATGATGGAATGACATTAATTCTTTTATTATTATTATTATTATTATTATTTTCTGGTGTGGAACAGGAAAGGATGGAAAACTTCAGGAGGAGTTACTGCTTGTGCCTGTGAAGGTATCACAGCTTATGCTGTTGAGTTTTTCATGCCAAATCCTACTGAAATGAAGGTCCCAGGGATTTGGCTGGTTGAAGCCATTGCATCCACACGAATGGAAATTCAATATCATTCACAAGGAGCTGTTCAAAGAGTTAAATAGTATTAGTATGATTGTTTTCAACCTTGTCTTCACTTCCCAACCAATTTTTCACTTTTAACACGACCACTTCGCTTTTTGTCTGGTTAGGAAGATAAAAGCTTGGAATAACAGTCAACACCTGTCAGATTATCAGGTACTAAGGGGAAGGGAAGGAAAAGTTAGTAGTATAAGCAAAGCTGTATGTGAAAGAACTCATATTGCTGTTCCCAATGCTGATTTTTTCCACTGTGTGGGTTGCTACTTAAAAATGTCTGACTTTTTTTTTTTTTTTTGACTAAGTTACTAACTTCAGTTGTAAATTTTATGTAAAACTTTGTCAGGTCCAAAATAATTACTGGCCATAATATAAACAAAGGGTTTTTTGTTGTTGTTGTTTGTTTGTTTGTTTTTATTTTTTAAGAAAGTTTCAGTTAGGTGTTTTAATCATAAATTTTGCTGAAAAGTCAACCACCCAAAAAAGATACTGGAACGTATTACATGTAATAATTACTAATGTTGTTACTAGGCCAGACAAATGAATCACATGTTTTTCACTTCTAGCAGTTTTCTATTTCATTTGGATTTGAGAAATCAAAGTGAAAGCAAAAAGCCATAGCTGACTGCTCCTAGAAGTATTGAAGGGCATGTGTAAAGAAGTTTTTTTTTTTTCCTTCAATTATATATATATATAATTATAATAGAATATTATAATAGAATTATATATATATATATATATAATATATATATATATATAAAAGGGTGGGGTTCTGGTAACTTAGGTGAGTCAGCTCTGCAGGGTATCATAAAAGAAACATGCAAGAGAAAAAAGATATTATTGGTTTCACAGCACTGGTAAATATTGACATGTAAATGGAGAGTATGTGCCAGCATATTTAATTTTAAAATCATTCTTAAGATCTTCCGTAATTAGGGTTAAAATTGTACCATGAATCCGAAATAGAAATAAATTTGAAACTACATGTTTTCATTATTAAGTATTGATAAATACTGAAAGATAAAAGAGACAACGATTTGTGAAAATTAGTTTCCTGAATCAATGCTTTGTTTCATGTGTAGTAGTTCAATGGAATGAAACACTTGCCTTTGTTTTTTTTTTTTTTTGAGGATTTTAAAGGACCACCTGGAACATCATGAACGCGCAGTAACTATTCACTGTATGTCCTATTGAAGAACAGGATTAGTGAAGGAAGTAAAGCAAATCGACACAGAAAGCAGAAGCCAAGTATAACCTAGCCTGTATGCAGTCTTCTAGACAACTGTAACGACATCTTGTCAGTGTAGTGGTATCAGTTTCCATTGAGTAGGATGATCCAGAGCAGTAATGCTGTTCCTTCTTTCTCTAATGTGTTTGCCAATGGAACGCCTCAGAAAAAAAACAGAGTACTGATATTGCTTCAGTAGTTATTTAGGGGAAATGACAACTGTATTCAAATTCAGGCCGCATATTGCTGAAAGAAAAAATTTGTTTATTTTTCAACATTTTATGTAGGCTGTTTTCATGCTTTTAATTGCTGTAAGAATATTATAGTTCTGTTTTATGGCTGCCTGGAATGCTGAATTCCCCCTGAATACAAATTACAACAGTTACTTACAGGTAGCCTTTAGTACCAACATTTAGCCATATTCCTCCTGTAATTATACTATGTCTGCATACTCAGGCTTTCTGGATTGATGCACTCTACCAGACAGTTTCAGTCTACCAGTTGTCTCTTGGTATGCTTTAAATACTAAGATTTTAGATCAGTTGAGGATTATCCTCTTCATGAATCTACTGATAAAAAGATTTTTTTTTTTTTTTTCTATTGGGGAGTGTTGCTGTTGTTTCCCATCCATAGGAGGTTCATCTTGTTGTTACTCCCCCTATCCCTTGAATATCTGCTTGGAATATTTTTTGGAGAGTTAAAACTGCCCTAGGAGCCCAGAAAGGCACTTACTCTCCTTAGCAGCTTTAGCAACTCAACACTTTGCATAGCAAAGGGACTACTGTGACTGGGAGGAGAATTAGAATTGCCATAATCCTTTTTTTTTTTTTTTTTTGTCAACAAATATCTGAAAATAGATATTTTGTTTCTCTTTAAGAATGAAAAATATTTTTTTTCACCTCACAGCATCAGTGAAATGCATTCCTTGAAATGAAAAATAGCTTCGTACTTGGTACCAAAATGTCACTGGTCCTTTACCATTTCATTAACGTCAAGTTACCATTATCTCTAAAATTATCTCCATCAATGACTGCGTAAATAAGATGCAGGAGCACCAGAATCTAATCACACACTGTGTGGGGCATTGTAATGAGTGAAGTCTTACAGGAATGTGTACAGTCACTTTGCAATTAGTGCTGTGTTTGGGAAGGACCTCCAAAAATTACTTCACTTTGCTTCTTCTTTAGCTTGTTTTATAAGTGCTTTTAAGCATACCTGCTACCTGCATTTGCTTCACCAGTGAATAATTCTCTTCATGGTGTTACTTTGATTTGCAGGTTCATGGTTCTGTAATCTTTTTGTAAGAAGGCAGAAAGAATTCTATTGCAAACCTTAAAAGAACAGAGAAACTTTCTGCAGTCAATTCATACTTAAGTATCTCTTTTAAGATGTGAAATTTAGCTCACAAATTCACTCTTAAACCATTTACTAAGGTTATTAAGAGGCAGATGAGAAATGGGAATTGGATTTTTTTCAAAGATTATATGCTTGGGGGAATTTTAATTATTTATTTTTTTGATAGTCATCTTGCCAGTCTAACATGCCCTTCAGACTTTGAAACTTTGGAAACAATACAGATGTTAGTACCATTCTCTGCATCTGTGGATGAGGTGGCTGTTACCTTCCTGTTAAGAACTTAATGTTGTAACTGTTCTCATAGTGCAGGCTTCTCTATAATAAGCACAAAAGCTTCTGACTACAACTGTTGGATGTTAAGGTGCTTCTGTCTGACTTTTCGTTGAAGACGATGATTCTCTGCCGGAGAAAGTGAAAGATTTTAGAAATTCTTATCACAATCTTCATCTGAAGACAGATTGCTACAACATCTTCATGTGTATTCACAGTGAATTTTCACAGGTTCACGGGGAAGGACAAGTTAATCTCAAATCCATTTACATGAGTACTGAAGATCTCTGCATACTTGTAGAGGGCTGTCACGCCTGGTATCTCCTGGTAATTCACAGATACTCATAAGTGTGATTCAGTAATCCTGGTTTAGTCCCAAGAAATTCCTCTGTGAGTTTCTGAAGTACAGAAATATTCTTTCTGAATGAGCCCAACTGTGAAGGCTTGTTTCAGCATCTCAAATACACGGTTTGATGGGAGTGGCACCTGCAGTATGGTGACTGTGCCTAATGTGGCAGTGTTCACCAGCTAACTATCAGTAATTTGTTGTTCCTAGTCAGGTTTGTGAATGTTTGTAATGTCATTTGGAAAGCTAGACTCAGTAGTGGGTAAAGATGGGGATGGGGGGGAATCAGCAACTGATTTTTTTTTTTTTTTATCTGGTAACCAGAGAAGTACTTTCAAGTTTAAAACTGGATTTGGACCACATTTTGAGCTGCTGCAGCTGTCAGGCTGCCTCTTTTACTTATACAATGTTGGTGCTGAATTTAGTGCGAGCTGAGTCTGGAGCGTGCAGCCTAGGGTAACACAAGATAGCATCAGGATGAAAATGTGTTTTCTTTCACTGAACTATTAATCTCTTCTTTTCTACATGCCCCACTAAATTGTACGCAGTTGCAAATGCTGCGTTATGCTCCAAGCATTTGCTGTGTGGGATGGGGAATGTTTGTTCTGGTAGTGAACAGAGGAAAAAGAGTGTGAAAAGAGATGGGGGTTGTTAGCCAGTGATTAGTTTGCCCCAATTAGTAGGAAAAAGTGAGAAGGCTGAACATGGCTGCTGGTCCTCAGTGTCCCTCAAAAAAGAAGGATCAGGTTATAGATACCCTCATAGGCAGGGTTTTTGCTGAACCTCAGCACAATGAAACACATCAAGTACCCTGTCAGCAGGAAGGTGAGCCCACCACAGCACATTCATAAAATCAGCGAGGATAAATTAAGCATGGCTTCATGCAGTGCCCACTGAAGCAAAAATAAGAAACAAACACAATTTATTGGTTTTCCTTGGGGTACGTGAGTGTCCGTTTCCAGGGTAGGCAGCACAAAGCATTCAGAAGGGAATGTGGACTCCTGGGAAGCTCTTAAAAGCATGTCTCTGCCATCCAGTGTACTGATGCATTACTCAGATTGATAAAACTCAGACTGGCCACTGATTGAGGAGGTGAGTAGTAGTGATGCTCAGCAAATGGCATGGCTTGAATGATGATATATGATTAATACATCAGCATTTGTCCTTTGTATCTCTAGTACACAAGAAAGTGAGGCAGAACCAAAAAAGTCTCATGCAGATGGATGGGGTGCCTTCCAGGTGCACACAGAGATTGTTTAGTGGCCCTGAATAGCTATTAAAACTTGGTTGCCTGAAGCAGCATGGTGGAAGAAGCCAGAGCTCTCTGGTTACTTACCTGAGTGGCTGCTGCCTCCATGCCTTGAAATACACAGCGGTTCTGCTGGCTGGATAACAGTGACTTGTTAGACCCTTGCTCCAGTGAGCAGAAAGACACATCAAAGGTGACCATAACCACATTTTTTTATTAATTTCTCCAGGGGAAATATATATATATATATAAAACTTAGAACTGTTGAGTTTTGTAGCGGTAAAACTTTTGGTTCCTTTGTCAGAATCACTTTATTTCATATTCAGGGCACAAAACTTTTTCATCAACTGTATTGGCATATTGATCAAGTCTGAAGTCAGGGTTCCCACGGGTACCTCTATGATGAATAAAACCCAAGGATGGCTCAGCAAAACAAATTCATACCAAAAATTGTATGTTTTTTCATTCATTAATATAATTGCATAGTTACTTTTAGTTACTTGAGTTGCATTTTGCACACTTCAAAGTTGTGTTGTTGTTGTTCCACTGTAATGTGTTTTACTGTTGACCATGAAATCCTGTAAGATACTTGTGTATCCTGGTACAACTGCATACAAGGACTATTACCAATGATGCGTTTTATATTTTAAAGTTCACACTGCTTCAGAAATTAATTCCCTAAGCCTGCAGCTAAAGGTGCAGATTGAATTGTTTTGCTAGTTTAGGTGTATGTGCATGTTTACTCTGTATATAGCATACTGGAAAGCAGCAAAATGACTTTGCAGTCTTCAATTTTGTTGATTTTATGGCATTAATAGTTTCTCAGAATGATCTATCAGTCTTGTATTTCACGTGTCTTATCTTTAAATGCTAACTATAGTTTATGCAAAAATGAAGATTATTTCACTATCTTGCTGCACCACTTATCCATACCCTCCTCCTCCTACTCATACTCACAGTGGCATTCAGAAGCTTGCTGAACACAAGGTATCCTAGAATAACATACATATATACCCGACAGCATGACAAGCCTCCTTTCAAACTCTGTTCTAATCTGTAACAAACTAAAAATGTTAAAGAACAAAGTTATGTTTCCAACAGAAATTTCTAAAACACGTTTATAATCTTAAACTTCATCATGGAATCAAGTAATTTACTCTGCCTTAAATTTTTTGGATTGAAGTCCATGGCTTTTACTATTAGAAGAAAAATAAAAACCAACAATGAAAGATCAGCTGCGTGGCTGATGAGATTAGTTTATCAGCCAACACTGTTACTCTTCTGCTAACGTAGATCACGTGCGTCTCCCAGGTACTGCTTCAAAGAGTTATCATATCTGGGAGTAAAAGCAATTGTTACAACACAATAGAAGGCTCTGCTCAACAAACAAATGACTTAGCTCGTGGGGGCCTGCTAATGAGAAAGCTTTACTTCCCTTCTATTCACTTATCAGTGAGATACGGTTCACCATAATGTTCACATTCCTATTGAGGAGAATGGCAATGAAACTGTGTTATTACCAATATAAATGCTAAATTTGCCTTTTCAATTACAGGCTGATTCTTTCCAGGTGGGAGCAATAGAGCAAAAATGATGATTAATGGGCTCACAACAATGCTGTACATAAAATATTCAGTCAAAACCCAAGAGGAGTATGTCTTAAAATGGTTCTGAGAAGCATGTGAATTGCTAAAAGAAACTTGGGTATGTATTTAAGTCAATTAGAAGTCCAAGTCCTGTTTTCAAAGGCAGTAGCGTGTTTAAGAGTTTAAGCCTCTTTAAAAATCAATGGTAGTTTCTAGTAGAGGCCTACTATAGCTTTTTTGATGTTTTGACTCTCTTCCTGTAAAAAGCATAATTTCACCTCTACCAAGCTAGAACTAATGACTCACCTAATCTGGGATAAATTCATTGAATAGAAGAAATGAATACTGAAGTACTGAATACTTCAGCTAAGATGTTTACCTGGCAAAATGGTGTAAAAACAAATAAATAAAGTTGGAGAACTCTAGTACCTTTTCCCTATTTTTTTTTTTTTGGAACAGCTGTTACATTTCCTGGATTCTAAGGTAGTCAGGAACATGTGTTTTGTCTCTTTGAACCTGGTGTTTTTAGTTTTTGACTGCAAATTATAGAAGGAGGCAGATTAAAGTTGCAGGTGTGAACTGAAGAGAGAGGTTATTTGGCTCTTTATGTAAAACCAGAGCTGGGGCTTAAACTGTTATTGATATTGAAGAGACAGTATCCCTTTATCAACCCAACTTTCCAAATCCTGTAAGAGTAAAGGTGGGTTATTTTGCCACATTCCTTAATGTGCTGTCCTAAACAATTGCTACAGATACAAGAAAATTCAGTGTACACAAATGCAGTTGATCTTTCTATATAAAGCTTATTTTGATAGATACAGTGTTTTCTGCTATGGTATACAGAAGCAAGTCCTTGCTAACCATGTCCTAGAAATGAGCATGGGGCTTTTTTTTTTTTTTTTTTTTGTTAAGGCAACAGTCAGTATCAAAAATAGGTACTACATTCCAGATAATACTACACTGCTTTTATCCTTCAAGCCTCTCAGACTAAAGAGCAAAGTTCAATTAATCAGTTTTGCACCCATGTGAGATACAGTGATAAAGTATCTAAATTTGTTGTCCCTAACTCTGTTTAGGGAGACACTGCAAAAAATGATTATTTCATCTAGTGTCTTAAAGAATCTTTCTGTTAACATTAAGGAAACTTAATTCAGTTATTAATCTGGACTTGCTGAATATGAATAAGTAACAGACATGGTATGGGAAGGTAAAAGAAGCAACACCAACTAGGAATCTTTTTCATATCCTATGACTACAATCTGAAAAACAGAACTGTTTAGCTGAATATGCTTTCTTCACTTAGCTTTTTCCACATATATTTAAGCATGATTTATTACAAAAAACTACAGCAAATACATACTTTTTTTTTTTTTTTTTTGTCTCTGACAGGTTCTATCATGCAATTCTAAACTACACAGAGGCAGAGTATTTCATTTCTTATTGCTGTCCATGTTCCTTTGGGAAACAGCTTATTGTTGTAGGGAAGCTTTCATTAAACTTCCTTTTAAACATAGCCTTGAATTCTATAATTAGTGAGCTTGCCTATCACCTAATTTCTTTGCCTTTGAAGCACTGAGTTTATCTGAAGTAAGTGCCCCTGCATCCCTTGGAGAATGTTGGAAAAAGTTGCATACTGCATACATGAAGTGTTTCCTTTTATCTCTAGAAAAAAATAAATATATATATATATATATATATTGTCTTATTTCAATTCTACAGCAATCCGAAGTAGACAAAAGGGTTTTCTACTATAAATTGATCTTCATATAGTTTCTATAGGTCTTCACCCTGTGGAAAAGACTGAACTTAGATTTTAACTTTTTCTATGCTTTGCTTGGTTTTATTCCAACTAAACCTATTTTTAGTCTCACATCTTAGGTCTCACATCATGGTTCAAGCAATTACTGTGGATATTTTTGCATACTTGTTTCAGAGAGTTTTGGAGGAAACATGAAACAACAAAATATATTGAGAGCAAAGGCTTGAAAAGAAAATACATTTCCCAGCAAAAGCTATTTTTCCTCTACAGAAAACTGGAGGGTTTGTTTTCTGAAAGCAATATGCCTCTGTACTTGTGTAAGGCATTTGCAGACAAAGACTTAAAAACAGATATAGAATATATTCCTGTCTATGTAACTTCCTTATACTTTGTAAATGCTTCATTGCCAGGTTTGACTGAAAAAATGAATAAAATAGGAATAATTTATCATTTTGGGTGTTTACCTGAATCCTTGATTTGTTATGTAATTGAAAAATTTTCATAAACTATATTCTATTGAGTGTATGTGTATGTATATATGGTGGGTGAATGGATGGTAATGCATTTTCTAAGCTGTATTGGAACTGTTACAGGAAGTGGGGAGAGCTGCTGGGATCACAGTGAATTTGTTGTCATTTATTGAAGAGTTTGGATCTGTTAATCATTTACTAGCCTTCAGTATAGAAACAGCAATGAATTGGACTGCTTTTTCCCTCCCTGCTTCTGATAACACGACTGAGACCATTATATAACCAAATTAATATCACAGTTTTGATGGTGATTTATTTCCACTTAGCGGATCTAGAAAATTTAGGCTTTTCCAACATTATTCAATACAACCTTCTCCAAGGAAGTTTCTGCTGTTCTTACTGCTTGGAGTAGTAGTCCTGTGATCAGAACTGCAAAATTTAACAACAGAATTATATTGCATGCATGGTTTTGCTACAATCTGTCTGGTCTCAAAGCTTTGTACATTCAAAATGATTTCTTAGTCTTCTAGTAAAAATTTAATTCAGAACTAATATAAATGGAACACTTTTTAAAATGTCTATTTCCCAGAAGAAAAAAAGAAAAAGGAAAAAAAAAAAAAAAGGTATATGCCCTATATACTGGAAGGCTTATTATGAATAACTATTCTCCTGAAAGATTTCTGCTTTGTACTTGACCATTTCAGACCTTCTGTAATATTGCAATAGCTCAAAACAACCTATGATGAAGTATAAAGTTTAGATGAACTCTTGTGCTTAAAAGGCAGAAAATACTGAGATTAAAACTATCATCGCGCTTTAAAAATTAATGTCTGGAATATTACTCAAGCACACTTTAGAGAAGTGAACATCTGACAGGTGTCTGCTTCCCTGAGGAGACATCACAGTGATATGAAAATAATGAACTAAACAGCAATGATTAAACAGTTATTTTGATAAGATTCCAACCATTCCAGAGAAATAATGTCACTTAAGAAAAATTAAAGTTATATAAAATTGACTATAAGAAAGATGGTGTTAACATAACACTAAGGTACACCAGCTAAAAATGCAATCTTTATGTAAGAAAAGAGCAATAAACTGAATATTCAGAACATGCAAGTTTAATAAGGACTCTGAGCTTCTGTTTAAGATGAAAACTAGCATTTTACCAGTAGTGCAGTTAGATTTCTCTGTGATATCTTTTTCCTTACTTACTCTTAGAAATACTTTGTTTTTTTGTTTGTTTGTTTGTTTTTAATATTAGTCTCAAATACATTAAATTAGTTTTTGAAAGACTGGCATTCTCTAGACAATAATCTACTAAAATCTTCCTAAGCAGCTCCTGACATAAGGCGTGATAATAAAGTATATTTAAATTACAGTTGGCAAAATACTGTAACCAGACATGCTGGATATCATAGCTTACTGTCCTTACTCTATTGTATTTAGTTATTAGTTCACTATTTCTCAAATTGTAGCTATTTGTGATATATTTTCCAACTAATCAGTATGATTTAATGAAAATAGGTGACAATTTTCCCTCAATAAGTCAAGCCTACCTCCCCCCCCCCCGCCAAAAAAAAAAAAAAAAAAATCCTATTGCACTGAAATGTGTGGATGACTTTGGGCACAGATTAGATAAGAAAAATGGATGCCAAATATCTGTGGAATGTTCTGTAAAATTATGAGCTCATAATAACAAATTTTCTTTTTCAGCCTTTTAACATCAGTGGTGATGCCTGTTTCACCTACAATTTTAATCCTAAGTGCTATATTGAAAAAATATTTTTTTAAAGCTGGCTGTATCCATTAATATTGACAGAAACAGATCTGTCAGCTTTAGCTAATTACTTATCTATGTGTCTATTTTTAGCTAATTACGGATCAGGTATGAATATACATATATATATTTGCTATCATATTGTTGCTGTGTTACCTATAATATGTTGCAGTCAGTATGATTGTTAGTGTAGTTATAACTACTAAATTCTTACACCATCCATTTTTTAAACTGATGCTTAAGAGAAGCTCACTTTCATGGATTGCTGCCAAGCATAACAGAATCAGTAAGTTGCTTCTATCCTGAAAGAAAGGGGAAAATAGAATCATTTTGTATTTTTTACATATATTCTGATGACCTGCAATAATCTTCTGATGATCTTGCTTTATGTTTATTGATAGAATGCTTTTTCCCCACTAAAGCTCACAATATTTCCATGAGAATCTCTATGAGATTCACATTCCTCACAAAACAGATCTCCAGGATTCTTGCAAAAAAGTATCTGAAAAGATACTGAATATCTCTGCTCTAAATCATTTATTCAATCATCTTGAAGTCCTCAGGAAAATCTGTCAGAACAGATAAGGCCTGGCTGGCCCCGCTGTGCAAGTTGGACTCTGTTGCATCTAAAATTGAGAAGCGTTCTTCTGCAGAGAAGACTCCCCTGGCAGCCATCCTTCCTTAAACTCAGACGGCTGTGCCAGAGGGATCAGTGAAAGACTGGTGAGAGGCATAAACTGCAATATATTAGCTAGATCTCTCGGTCAGTCATGGATATCAGTTTAACTTATCATTTCTTCCACAGCATTCATTTTTCACAAGACTGACTTCCATTTTCTCTGTGCTGAGGTAGGTGGGAGAGCTTTAAGACAAGCTTCTTTGAACTCAAAGGATGAATGCATTTTTCCTCTGCACTCTCCAGCATGCTCAGAAGAAGAAAAGAGAAGCATACTGAGAACATGCAGGGCATACCTGCCCTAGGCACTCGAAGGGATCACAGCTTTGTGAAGTTACTGGAGCTCTTGAGGGGCCCTTGTGTTCTTCTTGGTGCAACTGCAGGCCCAACTTAAGCATCCTCATTGAACTTGGATTTTGAAAGTTCTCCCTCTTGCTCGAGACGTGATGATTAAAGAAGTAATGTTGTATCAGGACAGATCTGTTTCTTAGTTCTTAGCACTTGTGAATCTGATTTTATTCTCATTCTGACCTACATCATTCCATGCACCAAAGGGGGTGACTTTTCCTAGCTGGGGGAGAGGAGAATTAGTCTTAATGCACTTGTCTTACTGCATGGGAAGTGTTGATGAAATAGACGTTCCATAGCTAGTAGTGCACCTTGAAAGGCACACTGCCTTAGAAATATATCAAAGCTAGTTGTATCATTTTGCATACTCAATCAAATCTGAGCTATTAAATCTATCATCAAGCAGTTGCTCAGCTTGCCAAAGGACATCTTGAACCAAAGTCCAGAGAATGGAGCATATAATTGAATCAGTGTTGACCAGCTGTCACAACAGACCCCTCCTCCCCCAAACACTAATGAAAGGAAGCAAATGAGACAGTGTGTTTCAAACTTTTATTCTGACGACATCCCATTGTTGTGCTCTAGCACTGAGCCAAGTGGAATTGAAGAGAAATCATTCTCATTACATTTTCCCAAAGATTATTAAAAGCACTTGTGTGCTGCTGATATCACTGCAGGAGCTGACTGAAACTTCAAAGATGAAGCCAATGTGTTGTTTGAGATAATGATAATGTATTCAAAGCAGTAAGAAAAAGATATTGTCCTAGGAGCCTGAAAGAAAGAATACAATTTTAGCACACCTGAAGAATCAGAGAGATCTGACTGTTGAGATATTTGTGATCATGTGTACATTGACCTTTATATTATGATACAGTGTAAGACCTTTATATTATGGCCTCTCTATAGAACGTAACTAATTAATTAAATCTCTGCAAAGTCTTACTCTTCATCTACATACCCATACAGAATTAAATACCAGCCACAACATAGATCTGCTAGAGAATATACATGGAACTCAGACCTACAGTTATGATGCTCTCCCCAGTTATAATGCTTTCCAGATGAAAGGTAAGAAGCATCCTTCGCAGAATAAATACCTTGTCTCATCTACATTGTTACTACACAAACCTATAGTATCTGTAATGTAAACTGACTGGCTGTTTTCATCCTGACAGAAACATAGATTATTTATTTTATTTTATTAATTTCCCAATGCAACTGGAATATAACAGATATATATATTTATTTCCAAAATGCAATTGTGCATTTTGGCAATCTCAACCAAGTAAAGAATCTGACAGCATCATTTTATAACAGGGCACATGAGGTACAGGCATGTCTTTTCTAGCAAGCCTGTTTCAGAGCTTTTCTAGCTCTGTGGATGTCTTGCCCTGCTGATACATGGCCTTGGAATAAACTAAGCCTTTGGAAGCCATAGCTCTGAAACAGGCTTGTATAAACAACTAGTAGCTCATAGGGAAGAACTATACCTTCCAGTCTGAGAAAAAGAGGGAGAAGGGAAGGGCATAAACAACAGGGATTTTTAGCAATTCATATAGTACCTCCATCAATTGCTACCTTATTTTTGAAAGAATTGATTGAAAATGGTAACTCCAACACTACTGAAGCTGAACAGATGAGAAAAAAACTGGCAAACTATGTGGCCATTGTTTCTATTTCACAGAAGATTTAAAATATGAATCTATATCAAACTTAAAAAAAGAACTCTGTCATTCAACAAAAATGGTTTGAAAATGCACATAACAAAAACACACATCCTTTCTGCTTACGTTTTTTTTTTCTGAGAGCATATTCTGAAGCAGATCCATTACTGAGTCTTCTGACAATGAAGGTAGATTGTTTTTAATGATTTATGTCAGTTGAATTAGAGGTGATTTATCACTGTTTTCTTTAAAACAACTAGCTCTAGAATTAGAAAAGGATTCTTTTTTTTTTTTTCCCCTCTTGTCAGAGGAAAGTCATCATGTTAGTGAGTTCACAGTGCTGAGACCACCATAGTACTTGTGTGATTTCAGTCACTTCATTGGACTTTGATTTTAGTGTACGGAAACTTAGTGCACAGTCGATTCACTGCTTTTCTTCAGAAGGATGCACATACTACTTTATCAAAGCAAAATGTGACATTTAGCTGAACACATGTGAAACACCTATGAAATGCAAATGCAGGCAGAGCTATAAATGAGCCAATTTTATTAGTGCGATTATTTCATCTGAACTTTGTCAGACTTTAGAACCTTACTCAAAATCTGCTAATAAATAATATTCAGATAATGTGAAAATCCCCCCCCCCCCAAAAAAAAAATAATTAAAAAAAGATAACCTGACTTCTTATGGAGTGTAAAAACGTGCTTGGTTCCCCCGTGTTTGCAGATTACACTTTTCCCCTAATGCCCTGTTCCTTTTTTATATCCTAAGCAGTGCTTACTGTTTAAGAAAATAATTGCAACCATCTTTATTTGTGAGGCGAGAATTCAATTTCTGCTGAGGAATTTAAATAGCAAGTAAGGATAGTTATCCTTCTGATATTTGATAAATGGAAAAAAGATTTAGTTATCTTGAGATGAGATTGCTTTTCAGAGAGGATGACATTTATTACCTCAAGGACATATTTCAGA